GGAAGTTGAGAACCAAATCCGCAGAGGGTGAAACATGTGCGGGGTTAGTATATTACTAATCAAATGTTGGGAAAATGATTAACATACAGGTTGAGAACAGTTAATTAATATATTTCAATGATTATCATAGAACCTAGATAAATAGATTGAGATTGCACAACAGTTTGCTGCACTTGTATAGAATTTTAGATCTGGAGCGAGATTTTTAAGCTTTTCTCTTCAAATTCGCCTCCGAATTGAGCATGGACTACTTCTATTTTATCTCATCCTGTAACTTTTTTACCGGCCAAATCGTCGATTGAACTTTGATTCTTGAAAAAAGCTGATGACTTGATCAGTATACAAAGAAAAACAAAAGTTACTTTTTGTTAGAGACAATTCAGAAGACCATTGTCTTGAAAAGGAATCATATTTCAATACAAAACAAAAAATGAAACTAGGTTTAGCTAGAGTCCCTGTATATACCTTAGACAAGAGTCCGGACACAAAACTGACAGCCGTTGGGGTTTTGAAAGTTTGAAATCAAAACTAGAAGATTTAGGGAAATTGCAATGTGCTATGTCATCAGTCCACGGTGTTTTTAATTCAGATCAAATCAAAACATTTACTGGTGAATGTAGACTGCAGGAAGAGGTGGGAAACCGACACAATTAAAATTATATTGGAACAATTATATATCTTCTATTTTTTTATATCCCAACAGAAAACAACTATATTTTCTTGGCTATATGTGATACCACGTAGAACACTCAAATTATCTTTCTTATATCTAATGAAGGAGAGAAATATCTGATAACGAAAATTGTCAATAACCATCTCAGGAATTGATTACGAAAATTATCGATTCGAAATTTGAACACCCTGTTGTTCATTATTTGAAAATCTAATAGTTATTCTAGTTGAAATAGCCCTATTTCTCACTTCTACCTACGGCTATGAACGGTTTGACAAATAATCTAACACTCAAAATTTTTTCTGACAATCATTGATCCTAGGCGTTGATTGATATAACGTCCTAGGGGAATTGAAAAGACAGAGCTCGATATATATGTTTTATTCCTTTATTCAATCATCAATGCATTATTGAAAACAGAAAAGGACAGAAGTATATAGCTGTGTCCGGACTCTTGTCTAAGGTATACAGGGTGTCCCTAGACCAGTGGGACAGTTGAATATCTCCTGAACCAATAGGAATTTTCAAAATATTATGATTCCACATCATATCGCATTATGAATGCTTACTTCAGGAATGACTATATTTTATACGAGGGGCGCAAGAAAGGCTCACAAAATCGAACATCAATTTTTCAAATGGAACACCCTGTATTTCATTGCATCTTCATATTCTCCTTGATGAGCTGAGTTCAACGACCTAGCACACTTGGGGTCTAGCGGGAATGATTTCCGAGATATAGGGTGTGGAAAATCGAGATTCTTCATTTCTGGGAATTTTTTGTGTCGAAACTATTCATTATTGGTCAAAACGAAATACATGTCCAGATCTTGACTTTTGATTTACTATTTACTCGTATTTAATTGAAACAAATACAGGGTGGTGTAGAATTCTCAGTTTCAGTCAGAATTCTACACCACTCTGTATTTGTTTCAATTAAATACGAGTAAATAGTAAATCAAAAGTTAATATCTGGGCATGTAATCCGTTTTGACCAATAATGAATAGTTTTGACACAAAAAATTCCCCAAAAATGAAAAATCTCGATTTTCCACACCCTATATCTCGGAAATCATTCCCGCTAGACCCCAAGTGTGCTAGGTCGTTGAATTCAGCTCACCAAGGAGAATATGGAAATGCAATGAAATACAGGGTGTTTCACTTGAAAAAATTGATGTTCGATTTTGTGAGCCTTTCTTGCGCCCCTCGTATGAAATATAGTCATTCCTGAAGTTAGCACTCATAATGCGATATGATATGAAATCATAATATTTTGAAAATTCCTATTGGTTCAGGAGATATTCAACTGTCCCACTGGTCTAGGGACACACTGTATATACAGGGACTCTACCTTTCCTGTTGATCAAAATTGAGAAATAACTATTTTTGCCAAGAGTGTGAACTCGGAAGGAACGCCAACAGTTCAAAAAAAGAGTTCCGTCATCGTATTGGGCATTACTGAATGATACGATCGCAGAGAAAGAAAATGAGAATGAGATGATGCGGAAAGAAATTGAAAGTTTGAAATGAAAACTAGAAGATTTAGAGAAATTGCAATGTGGTATGTCATCAGTCCACGGTTTTTTTATTTCAGATCAAATTCAATATTTACAGGTGAATGTAGACTGCAGGAAGAGGTGGGAAACCGACACAATTAAAATTATATTGAATCAATTATTTACTAGATCTAGTAACATATCTTAGGTTAGGTTACTAGATCTAGTAACATATCTTAGGTTAGGTTACTAGATCTGGTAACATATCTTAGGTTAGGTTACTAGATCTGGTAACATATCTTAGGTTGGGTTACTAGATCTGGTAACATATCTTAGGTTGGGTTACCAGATCTAGTAACATATCTTAGGTTGGGTTACTAGATCTGGTAACATATCTTAGGTTAGGTTACTAGATCTGGTAACATATCTTAGGTTGGGTTACTAGATCTGGTAACATATCTTAGGTTGGGTTACCAGATCTGGTAACATATCTTAGGTTGGGTTACCAGATCTGGTAACATATCTTAGGTTAGGTTACTAGATCTGGTAACATATCTTTGGTTGGGTTACTAGATCTGGTAACATATCTTAGGTTGGGTTACTAGATCTGGTAACATATCTTAGGTTGGGTTACTAGATCTGGTAACATAGCTTAGGTTGGGTTACCAGATCTGGTAACATATCTTAGGTTAGGTTACTAGATCTGGTAACATATCGACTTTTCCGTTTCTTTTTCCGTCTCTATTGATAATATGCAATCTTAATCAACACACAAATGAAGTAGAAAAATTATTGATGCAATCGATTAACTGTCAAACACATAAAACATTTTGTGTAGGTACACTGCCTACTAAGAGAAATAATTATGAAAAAATAGACTGATAGCCCTGTGGATCATCGTATAAGAGGAACAATTTCAGTTTTATTATTCTATTTTTTCATATCCCAACAGAAAACAACTATATTTTCTTGGCTATATGTGATACCACGTAGAACACTTAAATTATCTTTCTTAATAATAATAATAATAAAAGTGCTTTATTGAACATAAATACAAAATGTTCAAAAGGCTATTGACCGAAGTCCTTCTGCCCAGTGAATTATAATAATATTATGGGATATGATTATTGATGCATGTTGAAATGAGGGTTATTGATAATTAAGATACATAAACAAAAAAAAAAAAATCATTGATTGAAAACTTATTGTATGTCTACGTTCTTCATTCCTCTTGCAAGTCGGTCAAGCACTCATAAACGGTTCGAGCTGGGTAAACGTATCTTTGTCGGTGGTTTTGGTTCCTTTTGATTATCATTGGTTCTATCAACTCCATGTTACATTGTTTGTGGGTAAACTTTTGGGTGAGACAGGATATTCTTTCTGATATGGGTTGTGTGGCTGTCACTTCGTATAGGAGCTCGTTCGACGGATTGTGAAGAGGGTTTCTAGGGTGTCTGATTTTGGTAATGGTTCGAAGACTTGATGTTTCCGCAACTTCCAGGTTCCTTATAGCTGGTCTTCTGCAGTTGGTATATATGGGGTGAGCATATTCTAAAATGGGTCGACAAATAGTTTTGTAGATGTGGGATGCTGTTTTCACATTGATTCCTTTTTTTTTGGTGATCAGATTTTTGAAATGTTTTGCTCTTTGTAGGCATTTTTTCTTGATATTTCTTGTGTGATGGTTGAAGTTGAGTTTATGATCTAATTGAACACCAAGATATTTCGCTGTTGTTGAACATCTGATAGTCTGGTTGTTTACTATAATTGAGGGTGAGTCATCATTTGGCAAGTGATTGAAAATGATCAGTTGAGACTTCTGAGGATTGGGCTTAAGCCTCCATTTGTCGAACCATCCCTGAGTCCTGTGCATTTCAATTTGTAGCTCTTCAATTGTTTTTTGTAGAGAATTGTGGTGGCTCACAAGTGCTGTGTCGTCTGCATATTGCAATATATAATTGTTTTTGTTAATTTCTTGCTGATTTTGGTTAGCGTTGTAGATGTCATGGCAATATATATTGTATAACAGTGGAGATAGCGGAGATCCTTGAGGGACTCCTTGCTCTGGGGTGAAAGGTTCTGATTGATGTTTTCCTACTTTTACTCTTATTGAGCGTTCTGTCAGGTAGTTCCCTATCAGGTGGATCAAAAATTTAGGACAGTTTAGCCTGAATAGTTTGTAAAGCAGCCCTATATGCCAAACACTATCAAATGCTTTGTTGATGTCTAGGAAAATTGCCGCACTTTTTATCTTTCTTATATCTAATGGAGTCAAGGAATATCTGATGACGAAAATTTGCAATAGTCATCTCAGGAATTGATTATGAAGATTATCGATTCGAAATTTGAACACCCTGTTGTTCATTATTTGAAAATCTAATAGTTATTCTAGTCAAAATAGCCCTATTTCTCACTTCTACCTATACGGCTATGAACGGTTTGACAAATAATCTAACCCTCAAAAATGTTCCTGACAATCATTGATACTAGGGAAATTGAAAAGACAGAGCTCGATATATATAATATATATCTTATTCCTTTATTCAATCATCAATGCATTTTTTGAAAACAGAAAAGGACAGAAGTATAGTTGTGTCCATACTCCTAGGTTTAACCACTAACTTTTGCCACAGGGCGTTAAGAAGTTATACCTGAAACAAAATTCAGGTTGAAAATAAATGAAAAAAGTTACAGGGCGACCAATTTGGTAAATTTTTTTGGTGGCCGGTTTCTTTTGCCGGTGAGTGTATGAAATTTTTTTTTTTCGATTCAGGGGAAAACTTGCGTCTGTATGAAATCTGCATCGTAGTCCACAAAGAAAAGGGGGAATCATGGGGACCCCATCGGACAGTCCAGTGGAGGAGGTTATGTTCGAAATAGAACCATCGCGGGTACCCAAACCGATTCCGGTGGCCCTGGAGGACCTCTGTCGATTGACCAAATTCACCAGGCAAGAAATCAGAATCATGTACAGGGGATTCAAAACGGTAAGCAACATTTGTATACATCGAAGACTGGAAGCTTTGGCACAATAATACACTTTTTCTACTCACATAACTGAAATGGCATTTAGCTTACGGATATATACCACGCTAAATGATCGATTAATCACGGATTGAATATGTGATTTATACGAAATATTAAACACGTTACCATGGCAACACGATTTCCTAAACATATTACCATGGCAACGCAGTTCATTAAACACAGCTTCAGTAATTTGAGACATGTCTGGCCTGTCAATTGTTTTAACTGTCAACTGTTATTTTCGAATTTTGTATCAGAATTATCCAAACAATATTCGTTTGTATCAGAATTCTTCATTAAAAATATATGCGAAAAGTAGACGAAAGTGAAATCGGAGAGAATGTTCTGGTACTTGCATATCTCCAAGAAGTGTAAAAATGAAGCATCCATCTTTGAGAACAATCTATTTATTCTGTTCTAAGAATGACAATGCACGTGAAACAAAGATTAGTAAGCAATGGACTGGACACATCTACAACCAATATCACTTATACACGTCTCGCTGGTTCTCAATTCCCATTCCTTTCGAATTATTTTGTAGGTTAGAAGAAATTGCAGGTATATTAATGTAATTTTCGGAGTTCGTAGAAAAATCATAGTATGTAACGCGTTTATAAACTCTTCTAGACACTCGTTTATTAAACACTCGCTCCGCTCTGCTCCGCTCGTGCTTAAACTACTCGTTACTAAAAGGACGTTTATAATACTTGTTACATAATATACTATTATACACACAGTTTTATCACTAACCAAACCGATTTTTCACGCCTCGACACGTGTTTCGCTAACTATGTTGGCATCTTCAGGAGAAGATCAAACCTAATTCTTGTTAATTTGAAGACTTCGAAACAATCGACGCGTGTGACAATTCCCAAAATTTGTATTTACAGTATCGAGAAAACATATGAAGCAATCTGTTTTTGACCAAAAAAAAATAGAAAAATTTGTCTTTCTAACGGGAGGCGTTTGAACTTTTTGTAAAAATGCACAGCTTTGATTATCATCCTGTAGAATCTGATCCGGAAAAAATTAAAAAGTCATATCCATAGGTTCGATACTCACTGAAATGAGCTTTCAGAAACTGAAAAATAATTGAAAATCGGTTGAGGATTGATCGAAAAAATGCGATTTTACGTTTCTTGTGTTGAGCAGTTTAGATTCGATTTCCTTCAACTTCAACTTAGAATATTGATTGTACATTAAATATAAATCATGGTTCATCGATTGACAGATATTTCGACAGATTTCATTCGTCAGTGGTCTTCCCCATTCAGTATAGATTTTGCATCACGACGTTAATCAATTAATAATTTCCTTCTTTTCACGGGAACCCAGTTATACTGTTAGAAGTTATACCTGAAGAATTTGTTAATGATTATGAGCAATGAATTGAGTAAGTCACGCACTATTCTTCAATTTTTCACTCACGTTGAATCTAGATAACTAGATATTTCATGGAATATCAATACAATAATAAGCAGTACAACAAAAGACAGAAACCCAAACCATCTAGGTCTAACATCTATACCTATACCACCTATTCATCACGACATTTTCTTTGTATGGTATACAGAAACTGTCGAAACGAAAGTTTTATCAGTTGGGATGTATGATAAAAACTTTTGTTACTGTTACGTGGATAGAAATCTGTTGTGGAGCTAACAAAACAAAAGTGTGCTGTTTGCTTTTCATTTGGCATTATAACTACCATTGACTTTACAATAAAAGTGTGAAGGGTATGGGTTCGGAGTATGGCAGTGAACTAAATACTAAATATTTGCCTAATTTGCATTTATACCCTATACTTAACGCTGGATTTTGTTGACTCTGCTTTTGTCTTCACCGTAGAATAATAATTCTAACTTCAGCTAGTCATTATATACATCCTTTCAAATTTCATGATGGGAATTTAAGTCTGATTAAGTTAGATGTCTTTATTTTCCATAGGCGTAATTTGACTGATTTCATGTCTATCAAGTTGATGAATGTATATTGGAATGTATTCAAACCCCGATGTTCCCAGAAAATATTTGTACAGGTGGTAACTGCAATTTTCATAAATCAAACTTTATGCATGTATGTGTGAATGAACGCTTGTCGAATAGGTATGTGGTTTTCCTGAAAATGTTTGGTCTGGCGGAAAATATTGTTTGCTGTTTATACTCACGTGTAATCTCGATAAATTCATTTCGAACTGATTGAAGATAGAGCTTATAAATAGATATAGATAATGTTCAGCAATCTCTGCACCATCAACATATTTTTTGTAAACTAGTGAGACGATCACAAAATGTCATAACTTTTTGGCACTTTCTCCTCAATGGGTCCTTATTTATAAAAGATCGCATTAAATATTTTGTGAGTACATCTGTACACGTGAATTAAGTAGAGTATTTATAGTCCTTGTTAAAATTGAGTTCAGATGATCAAATGTTCTAGAGTGCATGAAATATCAATTCATATTATTCACGGTGAATCATTTCATCCAGTTGAATAAGAGCGGATTTTATTGAGTTTCAGTAGTTTGGAATATTCGGTGTGTATATAGATTTTTCCACAACTATATTTACTCCTTTTGAATGCATAAAAGGTGTTTTTACTACCAAGGTAGTTTTCGTCATTTTATGAAGCACTAGTCAATGAAGACATAGCCTCCTTTGTTATCATTAACCCGAATTCACTGTTCTGATGCGATATTCACAGGAATGACACTCGAATCTAGTATGTATTTTACAATAAGGACTTGTCATATATGCTGTCATGGTGACTAGATTATAATTAGAATTGAAAAAAAGTGCTTTCAAAGTGACATAGGTCCACATTTCAGTTTTACAGAACTATATTGATTGGAATATGTTATAGTATGATCACAAGTCAATAAACACGAGCACAAATGATATGGACAAGGGTTACACTTGCTCTTAATTCGGCTGCCTGCCAAACACTGTATGAGCCAGTCTTCACACACGTCTGTCATAGGCTCTGATCTAAGCACATTCCACTGAGCAGAAGCGCATCTAGTTGCTAGATGCTAACAGAATATATTGCTAGTGGTGAAAAATAAATCAATATACACCTTGTTAGTGAAGAATATTATTACCACGTGACCTTATATCCCTCGGCCGAAGCCTTGGGATATAATCTTGGTCCCTGGGTAATAATGATTGACTTTACTACCTTGGTGTATGAATAACTATTTCTTGAATTTTGAAAGATTACGACTCTGAGAGTTATATGTTGTGATAACTGATAGATCCAGAATGTATACAGTTGTCTAAATTATCTCATAATGCGTACAGAGCGATTCAGTTGAGTCCGCCTCTAAATGGCAATGAAATAAACAGATCATCATGTATTATCTAACAATAATTCGATCGAATTCGACAAAACCATTTGTTTCATTATTCTTCTGGTTTCTGGATGATATAAAGAGCTATTCAGTAAAGATTAATTCTGAGAATTCTGAAATTCTCCAGAAATTTCCGGGAGTAATTCCAAAGTCATGGAATTATAATAGAGCTATTCAGTAGAGACTAATTCTTAGAACTCTGAAATCCTCCAGAAATTTCCGGGAGTAGTGCCAGAGTCATGGAATTATTATAGAGTCGTCTGGAAATAGGTATATCTCATGGAGTTGGTTTCTTCTACCAGTCTACCAGCACGTGGTCGCGTATGCATTGAATATGCATATGCGTTGCGTCACGTGGTGTCCCAAAGTTGACGTAGTAGTAGTAGTAGTAGTCGATGGGGAGGCTGTAGCCAAGCAAGTAGGCCCCGATGAGCCCTTTTTGTTAACCCCTGCTCTCCACATATCTACGCTTCCTTCACCTAGATGTCCTTTACGAATCTCCCTGACCTTCTGATGAAGGCCAGTATGTACGTCCACTCTAATATGATCAACTCCTCCTGTTGGAGTTTGTCGACTCCTAAGATTTCAAATCTCAGCCTCCCGTACGCCTCGCACTCGCCATGAAAATGAAGCGCCGTTTATTCGTCTTCCCCACATCTGCGGCAAGTGGGGTTGTCCTCTATTCCCATAATTGTTAGGTGTTTGCCTAGCCTGTTGTGTACTGTGGGTACAGCCATTCCTTCCTTGATCTGCTCGGACCGGCCACGAATTCCTTGGCCTGCCTGCAATCTGTGATATTTCTCCAGTATTCATCAAGGGCTGACGTAGTTTGTCTCCTTGCTATATCTAGTTCAGGCTCCGGTCCCAGAAACGGCTCCGCGGATCCGGTCCTAGCAAGTTCGTCTGCTGTTTTGTTTCCGGGCACCCCACTGTGACCCGGGATCCATACCAGCTCAACTTCCTTTGATTCGGCTAATAACTCAAGGGCATTTCCACATTCTTGTACTAATGCCGGGCTTGGTCTGGGATGACAGATAGCCTTGAGTGCTGCCTGACTATCCGAACAGATGTGGATCTTCGGCTCTCTGGTCCCTCTTTCACCTCTTGCCTCCCTGCTATCATAATGGCGAACTCGTCAGCGTGGAAAACTGTGGTGTATTTTCCTAGAGCGTAGCTTTCTCGTATGTTTCTCCCTTTGAGATAGATACCTGCGCCCGAGGTCTGTTTGTCAGTCAGACGGGATTCATCTGTAACATACTAAGCTTCCTGAGCGAAGTTAAAATGGTTCGACTTCACCAAATTCAACGGTTTTTTGAGATATTCTTTGATTTCCTTGACAATATGACAATCTTTAGAAATATGCTGACTTGAAGGCTCCCGGAGACACCCTGTAGAACACCCAGAAGAGTAAATTGAGACAGTTCCTGTTCGTCCTCCAAGGACAGAATGTAGGTCGAAAAGGCCGTACACGATTCTCTATTCCCTCGAATCTAACATTTTATTTCTTCTTCGGGGCATCTCTTTTTGGCTCTCCGCTCGCATTTGTGGCAATATAAATGCCTTTATCGTCACTTGTGATCTCAGGTGGGATCGATTATGCGAGAAAAATCA